TGAACGGAGATGAGGGGACTCTTCCGTTTAATGGTTCTGGCTATGACAAGCCAGAATCAACTTTCCTCTTAAGTTAACAGTAAATTATGACTTGCTAACCAAGCTAGTCCGTAATAGCATTAGCTAACAGCTAATCGTTTTTACCTTTTTCTTCAAATATGGTCTTAAATAGGCCACTTAAAAAAAAATAATAATAATAATCTTGAAATCAATGGATGACATCACTTATCTGAATTAGATATATATGGTTAAATAGCCTTAAGAGTAATTATTTCCTTTTAATAGATCATCCTCACAATTCTCCAGGGATCAGGAGGACAAAGGAAGACGGTATAAAATCATATTGATGCACATATTCTTGGTTCACATTTCTATACTGAGACCTGAAACTTCACAACATTGTCTGTGGTGTTTCCATTAACCATGAAATCAAGATACTAACTTTTGTATTACTCCAGCTGTGAATATCTTGTCTTCTCTTTTGCACTCCTTCAGTAAATCATCACCATCAAGACTCAAGTGGACTTCAGGGACGAGGGCAGTGCGTACAAGAAAAACCAGTCACAAGTGGCAGCCACATGCAGTCAGAGGGTGGGTAAGATTTGCTCCTCTTACCCAGAATGCACCCTGATCTAATTTTCATTGGACTCTTTTCTAAAAGGATTTCATCATCTTTCATTCTCAGTTTAAATTCTCCCTCCTCTCCCTGAAAATGTTTATGTATGATGTGGGAGAGGAGTGAAGCCATGCCTATTAAATTAGCACTGGGACATACATGTCTTTAATGCCTAGATAGGAGGTTTTCAAAGTAAAAGAAGAAAATACAGTAAGTCAAAGTCAAAGAAATGCTTATAATCAAGTGAACTAAATTAATTTCTTCTGATATACATTTTTTAAAGTAAATATATACTGCATGTGAAGTAGCTTTACACTGAAGCCAAGTTTGAAATGACCAGCTTAAGCCTAAATCTACAAAATAAATAAATAAATAAAAAGATTAAGATAAGATTTTAAATAAATAGATCAAAAACCACAAGGGGGAATCGTACATAATAATTCTAAGTTTGGATAATATTGGCTACCCTCCAGCTCAAAGTAAACTCAATACCCACTCTCCTTCCTTTTGTGGGTCATAGTTTTACACACACACCCCAACACACATTCAAATAGGCCATTAATCTATTTGAAAGCGTGATGGATCCTTTCATACTTTTGTAAGATATCAGCAGTGACGATCTCATAAAAAGTCATTTAGGAAGACTTATGTCTTTTTCATTTGTCTCACATTTGTCACATACAGCGAAAAACATGAATAGTTCTTTTTTAGTTTAAATTTATAGCTGGCTTCAGGCCAACAGCTGACATGAATTCATGTTTGAATTTATATTTTCAGTAAGTCACATGCAAAGACAAAAAAAAAAAATCACTTACATGGTTGGAAAAATGATCAAAACGCTACTTGCTGCAGCTGCAGCATTGGATTAATAACTAGACCCGCTGAGTGTCAAATTGAGTCAGAGGGTGGATATTGTTGTCACGCTCAAATACTCCTCACTGCTGAGGGTTACACTGTGAACTGCAGCCTTTATGTGACTCGAGCCTTCACAATGATGCCATTCTTTTCAATCGCATTTTCCCTCCCATCTTTTTTAAACCAACTACTCACGTCTGTCAATTCCAATATTTCAATGAGACTTTAAAGTCAAAAGACAAAGTCGAGTTATTCTTTTTAAACGCATTGCCATGGTGACCAGGTTCAGCCAAAACATGTGGCTGCGACTTGTGACCGGTTTTTCTCGGTGATTCTGGACGCAGCAGAATGAAAATGTCCTTTAATGAAAGCACTCAAGATAATGATGGAGCTGAGCACTGGCATTAACTTTGATGCTGGGTGCATGTTGATTGGGCTTGAGCTTCATGGAAATCGAGGACCTGAATATAACTTTCTTGTAATCCAACAGGAGGCTGTGTATTGTTTTCCTTTGTATTTGGACGCAGATATGAAGACACGAGAAGCATGATATCTTACACCCTTGTTTCTGCGTCTATGTGCATCAAGCACATGTGCTTCTTTATTTTTAGAGCGGCTGACTTGCGCTGGGGTCAAGCAGGGTGTCAAAGGACTTCAGTGAGAAGGACATACCTCGAACTCCAAGTATGTTTCCAGCATGCATCCATCACCCTCCAGCTGACAGCTGATCCGAACGCACACAACGAGGATGGCCACAGCGCACGCAGGCATGTGCCTGTGTCACTGTATGCTCAAATTCATCTGCAGGCATCTGCTTTTGAACAAAGCCCAACTATGTTAATGAAAGGGTCTACAGGGGGTAAGATTGGGGGATGATGCCTGATGATAGGCCCTGCTGCACACAGAGGTAGTGAGGATTTGACATGTCAGAGGGTTACAAGATTTTCCTTTGACCTCTCAAACATTTAATCGTATTATAAGTGGCCATTATGTGGTAGCAGGTTTTTTAATAGAAGTGTTTATGGAAATACATTATCGTTGTTTCAAGACTGTAAAAACACCAGCAGGTGTCTCAGTGTTGCAAAATATGACTTTTGTCTTTTAATTTCATCATACTGAAGCTGCCTTTAGGTAAAATGCACAACATTTAATTAATTTGTCTTTTATGTATGTTGTGCCAAATCACAAAAGCAGTCTTTATGGTAGTTTCTACTCGCATTGACTTTATACTGTAAGGTAAGAAAACCCCAACAATCAGGAGACCCCATATAAGCAAGCAGTTAGCAACTGTGGGAAGGAAAAACTCAATTTTACAGGAAGAAACCCCAGGAGAACCACACTCAGGGAGGTGCAGCCATCTGTTCCAACTGGTTGGAGAGTAAGACATACTCATTCATTGCAGCCTTGAACTTTGACCTTCTTTTCTGCTCTACATATACATGACACAGGATTGAGGGTTAGCATGATCTCCAAAGTATGCTTGGTTGCATGTTACAAATTTCAATGCAATACAATAGGTTATGGTCATGTTTTAACATGCTGCTTTTGAGTGCAGTATATTCGGATATGGTAAATCTTTTTGTGTATTGAAAATGCATCTTTATTTTCAATGTCCTCAATGATGATATAAGATCTTTTATTAATACATTAATTAAAAGAAGCATGGCTGCTTTCAGTTTTCGTGTTTCATGAGGGAAATCCTCATGGAAATGAAGTTGTCCAGTAAGTACTAAACAATTTTGCTGAACGTCTTTATGACACATAAATATCTGTTTTGTATAAAGATTTTTAATGAATTCGTTTTTAATTGTTAGAATGTTAGATGTTTTTGACCCCATTCAGCTTTTACCTTGATCACTCCCCAGTTAGCCTTATATCATATGACAGCCCAGCCCAGTTTTGCTGGTCCCCCACTGTTGGATATGTATGGATATTTTTGGGGTTTTTTTCATAGAAAATTATTTCCTACCCAATTAGACATTTCTGTGGCTTGGTAATATCTATAGCGCACATATTTGATTGTTTTTTAAGGCATTCCCTAGTAATTCTTTTTTATTTATTTATCTTTTTACTCAAGCATTTATTGTATTTCAAGGACTGTCTTGAATGGACTAATGCTGATAGATGCATCTACATGATCCTGATGAAGGCTACAGGCCAAAATGCACTGGTCAAGCAATAAAGCTATTCCTCTTGCTACAAGTCTTACTTTAACCCCTTAGACGTTCACTCTTCTCCAAATACTGCATTGGAAGTAGGTGAAATTGTGCCAGAAGCCTTTACTCTGTGAGTGCACTTCTGTATGACAGTCACACCGGCCTCTGTGAAAATAAAACAAATTAACTTGTAAAAGCAATTTGCAATGCAGAAAATACCACACTAATGAGACATATCATTAGTTTTATTGTCTGCTGTTATTTCCACTTTTATAGAGCAAAGTCTCTGTCACGATTTAAAAGTTACATTTTTGACTACACACTATGATGTAGGCCACATGTATAAGACTATTTTATTTACATTTTATATATAAAGAAGGTGCTTATTCATGTAAATACAACTATTTCTACCACTCTGATATGATTCATAAATCCAACTAAAAGCTCAGGATATGCCCCCTATAAGCTCTTCTCTCTCAGTACACCATTAATCACGACCACTGGACAGGTTGCCAGACTTCTGTAGGCTATGTTAAATAATAAAACAATACAAATACAGCTGTTGGCCCCAAGTTCTGTTATGTAACTGTATACTGCTATAATGTAAGGGTTGTCTAATTGTCCTATGAAGACACATTAAACATCAAGTGTATAGTGTATTACTATGGTGTACCTTCTCTATGGTTGTCTGATGTAAGAGTTACAGTTGTGCACATGTATTTGCTGATGTTTATGTTTACATTTGATTTATTCTTGACTTTGTCTCTTGTAGGACAACTTGAGGAAAGTTTTTGTTGTGGTTGTGTAAAAAGATGGCTATACTGAGTTTGTTTGAATAAGGCCCTATTAAATAAAATCCGTTATCAGTCAATCAGTTAAGCTAATCAGTCACAGAGTAGAATAAGTTGAAATTTCTGGAAAAAAAACGCTCTACACTTTCATTGAAATTCTTTGGGTTGCTTCATAAAGTAATAAGAGTAGCCCGCTCTTATTAACATTTTACATTTCAAACAGTCCCGTGCCACTGCTGCTCCAACCCTGTTTTCACGCCGACTGATTTCATTTGGCCCTTTTTTTCTTTTCCCTCACATCCTCGCGCGCAGTGATTCGGTATCTCTGTCGCGCAGGCGGCGGTGCCACAGCGCGCGCGCATTACCCTCGTGGTTTTATCTTTTCTGGACTCGCTCGCGGGACTGAAACGCCTGCAGCTGAGCTCGCGCTGTAATCTGTGACAGCTGGAAATGGACAGTAGCGACACAGGAGCTGTGCAACCGTCTTACACAGGTAGGAATGTTGTTTAAATGTTGTATTCCGAGGCTGTTTGTCTGTGTACGTCGCTTTGGACACCTGCGGACTGCGCTTTCGTGTCGACTAAATGTTTCTACAGTGTCTTTCTTTTGCGTTTGATAGAAATGCATTTGCTATTTTATCTATTTAAAATTAAAGTAAGTAAGTAGTAGCAGTTAAAACATTCTATATCAATTTAAAAAACATGGATATTTTATTTCTTTTCCTGGTGGATAAGGGTTCCAGTTTTGTGTTTGGTTTGTCGGTGTGTATGAAAAGTGCTAGTATTTGACAAAAAAACATATTCTAACTTTCAAAATCTGAGTGTTTTGGAGGCACAAATATCACATGTATTAATTGTCGTTGGTTATAGTAGTTGCCTTAGTCATATTTAAGAAGAAAAAATATCCTGGCACATATCTGGTGGTGTTAATGGAGGTCAGAGGCATACCTGGGTTTGTGAATGAAGTTATTTAAACCCTGGAGCTCAGGCATTTTTTTTTTTTTAGGCATTTCGAGTGTCTCAGTGCACATCGCTGAATCCCTGTGTGTGTTTCATACTGTAGTTGTGTGTGTGCAGACCCTTAAGGATGTCGGCCAATATTCTGTGGAATAATTTTAACATTAAATGAAGATTTATATGAAAGAATAAAGAGTCAACCCCATATGCGTCTTTTCTTCCTATGCCCTATGGCTATCCTATATTTGGCGCTAACCCAAATATGCTTTGTCTTTTCAAACTTTTTTCTTTTAGTACTAGCAGGTGTAGTGCAGGTGGTCCTGGCTCAATCATCTTTGAATAAGACTGAACCCCAAATCTAAAATCTCTATCTGTTAGCATATGTGGAGGGGCCAAAAACGCAAATCACTGTGGATGAAAGGTTCTGGAAAATACATGTGTTGTATTGTTTTCCCAAGATGAAAATTGAATTCGCTGATTACTGGCCGTTTTCTCAATCAGTGGACTCGTTTTTTCTTGTGTGAAATACAAAAAAAAAAATAGTTTTCAAAATGCCATTTGCTGTTTTTTGTTTTTAATCCAAAGCATTATCACAAGTGGCGAATATTCATCTGCAGCTGACACCAAAACAGATGATTTTATTTATTTATTTATTTTTGAGTAATCCCTGTTAAATTTAGGGTCTAATCAAACGATAAACTTGCTGGCTCTATACTGACACGTGTGTGTGTGCTCATCGTGTCATTTACTGTGCTGAAACCTCAGCTGTGCTGCTTGAGGTTCACTTCAATCTTCCTATAGATGTGAGCGTCTCACTCCATCATTACCGTGAGTGCGGCCCTGGCATACTCAGCTGCTGCTCGATTCAAGCAGAGTAGACACACTTAAACACCCAGCACTGGCCACATCATCACGTTCTGCATCCTCTTTCGGTGACCTTGCTCGCCTCCGTCCCCCTCTGCGTCAGCTTCAAACATAAATGGCTCCAAATGACGCTGCATCCCTGCCAAGCTCTGGCGAGGAGATGCTCTTTCCAACTGCATGGAAGCCAGTCATTTTCGCTGTGAACAAAAGGTCCTTGATTCATCAAATCCCACACCTTCTACTGCCCGCTCCCCTGAGTGATGCTGTAATTTTCACTAGCACTCCTCCAGTGTGAGGCTGGTAGAGTTTCTTTTTTTTAAACTTTTTTTTTTTTTTTTAACACCATGTGCGATTCTGTTGGGTTCTTAGGTGTGTATACAGCTGGGCCAGACTCTCTCTCTCCAGTCTCAGCATGAAAGCAGTCATTTAGCTAAATTTGTACGTAGGTTAGTTCATCCAGAGACAAACTCAGTGCACATTATGTTAAATATACATGTGGGAAATGGACTGGCAGCAGTTTCTAATGACAAGCAGTACTTACAGTACAGAAAGGCAAAAGGGTAATTGTTATTCGATTTCTTTTAGAAAAGAAGAAAGTCTGAAATTATCATAAGGGTAATTTCAGTAATGAGGAGCAAAGGTAATGAGAGGTTTGGTAAGTTAGCAGCTTGTAAGACAATTCAACATATTATGGTGCAAGGCCTCCCAATACAAAAGCCATTTGTGGAAGAGGGGAAAAGTGTTTTTCACAATAAATGTGGTAAGCTTGGAGAGAAGAGCTGCCCTTTAATTCACCTTTTGTTTGTCTTATATGATGGTAAACTCAATAATTTGGAGTTTTGGATCCTAATTGCTTAATTGAAATAATAATAAAAAGCTATTAATAAATAATTGAGCTCATTATGAGCTAATTTTAACAAAACAACACGTGCAGTTAGGGACAAATGCTGCTCTATGAATTTAATAGATGGGGTAAAGATTTTTTAGATTCCCACAGAATCTTCATTTCTTTGGCCTCTACCTGCACTGGCACCTCATCACTAGTGCATGTTTCCCCCTCGCTTCTTCAGGTTCAGATTAGCACCCCGTCTGTATAGTCAAACCCAAGAGCATCTACCGAGGCACCACATCTCTCACCGGCCTGCACCATGGAGAAAGGTCACATTCACAGATTGCAACCATTCCAAACATTGGTGATGAAGTTGAGTGACCAGCTTATCTCCCTACCCCCTTCTTTAACTTTTTCTCCTACCTTGGAGCTTTCTCTTCTGTACTTTGGCATTTGGCCGGCGCCATCTGTCTCAGTAAAAACCATCAGCTGTGAAATTGAGAATAATCATGTGGAACGAGATTGGGATGGGAGCAGCTTGAGCTCCAGCCCTTAGCTGTCAATGGACTCATGGCTCCTGCTGATAAAGTCCAACAAAGATTGAACACTCATCCACAAATCATTCTTTGTTGATATGTTGGCAATATTGCTTTTCTTTTTTCTTCGCGTTGGTGTGACAGAAGATTTTTTTAATGCAGGGAGACGCCACTCTTGGGCCTTTATAGTCAGGGTGGGAAAATGAACAGTGTTTTTCCCTGTGCTGTAAACGGAGATTGATGAGATATCCCATTGGTACTCCTGAATACTATACAGCTGCCATGGGGTGTGGCTTTCCTAATGTGTTTTATGACTAATGGCTTTGACAGCCAACTGACAGGCAGAGCTCGCTGCCTTTATTTGAAGAGCCTCTGGAGCCTGAGAGTTAAAATGCAAATAAAGTAGGAGAAGACACTAGCATCAACATGAAACAGTTCCTCGACCACTCTAATGAAATGCATTAAAGCATATAAAAATGACTGGTGAGTAGCTACAACAGAGGTACTGTCAGAATACGGTGATGTGTAATTCCACAGTCTGGACTGAGAAACATCACAGTCATCACAGAATATTTATAGTATAAAGTATATATGAAGTATGTGTTTTTTCAGAGGAAAAAAAAGTTAGGAGTATTGTGTTGATTTTATTAACATGTCACCAAACTCCTTGTAAGGATAATGCAGTAAGAATATGACTCATAAAAACTTTTTGTTTTTAATTAAATGATTTCAGTGCTTCTGACAATTTTTCCCCAATGAAACTAAATAATTAGGGCGTCAGGTCTATTTAAGAAACACACATGGTTTCTTATTTTGACAATAAACATTAAGATTAAAAAAAATCCAAAATAATAACAGACAGACTAAGGTTAAATTGTCAATGCGAGAATTTTAATTTTTAAAACATTTCAGCCATAGACAGTATAAAACATGGATGACATCATTCACTGATTGTGGAGTGAGTATTCTGAAGCCTCAGTGTTAGCATGTTGACTATTTCAAGTTGTCAGCTATTGCTAACTAGTGTAGCTGGCAGGCTGCGGTCATAACTGACTGCATGGGTGCAATGCAGAGAGGTGTTGTGTGAAGCTGTGTGTCAACTGGAGGACAAGAAGACAGGACAGTTGGTAACAATACTACTGTAAGTCAATACCTAATGAGATAGTATTTTTTTTTTTATTGCTACCAATTATTACCAATTGCTATCACAGTAACAAGTTTTTTAGCCTACTCTGTACATTGTCCAAATCTTGTAAAATATTTAAATAAACAAACAGAACCTTAATATTAGTCTAATTAAATAAGTCATTAATAAAAAGTAGGATAAAATGTCACCATTACATTATTTATGCTTTTGTTCAGAAGAGGCGCAAATAATGATTGATTTTGTTAATAATTTTTTCAGATTTTCTCAGTAACGCTTAGAAAATTAAAAAAATGAAAAACTATTAATAATAACTAAATTAAACCACTGTTTTTGTTTTTTTTTAAAGCAGTTTTTTCTGTGAACTACATCTTAAGGAGGTTTATAATTAAAGGGAGTATACATCAAATTGAAAGGTTAGTATTGTAGTAACATCATATAGTTTTTGCTGCTTTTGTTTGGAATTGCTTAAGAAAATTAAAACGGGGAGTACTAATGTGGAGAAAAGCGCTGTATGCAGTCCACATCGCCAAAGCCAGAACACTATAGTCTATCAGCTGTGCGGCAGCCATTTTCTGCCCTGGATTTTATTGTTGCAGCGGCTGCTTGTGGTGTTAACACACATTCTCCCTGCAGATGTCCAACAGCAGCATGAAAAAGGACTGCAAATGTTTAAACAAAACACTTCTGTCTTCATTCGGTGTGACTAATCGCATGGAAAAAAAACCCTCTGTGAGGCATCGGTAATAATTTGAAATGGACTGTCGCCGAAACGACTAACCACAGTTATCGTCAAAACGAAGCTTCCACTAGCAAATTGCAGGTGCAGTCTACACCTTATCACAATAGACTCACAATAGATTGCTCTTCCCAACCCCCAACCCCCCTCCCACCCGAGCCTGCTTTTCCTCAGACCCTCCGAAATGGATTTCTGCTTAAATCTCCCATCAAAGACGTAATGGCTCTTTGGCTGTGTCATTACAAATCAGATGACAGTCTCCTTCACAGACTGGCAGCTTAAACCTGCCTCTGGACTGATAACAGTGATCTTTATTTGGCTGCTCAGAGGTGAAGACAGGGCAGAGCCACCTCCCCGATTGTCGAGCGAACCCCATAACAAATTTCTATCTGGGTGAAAATGCAGTCCTTCAGAGCTTGTACAAA